GTATTTTCATTCTCTTCTATGCCTAACAACCTCTTGCATTGTAGTGGCATTTTTACCTGGCTTGTGGTGAAATGATTAAAACAAAGTTTATTTGTTGATAATTGTGAACATTTTTTTCCACAGGACTCCAAATGTATATTACTAACAAATGCATGCATTTACAACATCACCAATAATATTTAATTTGTTAAACAATTTTTAAAGACATATTTTAATAAATATTTATTTTGTGTCATTTATTTTTACTTCAAATTTAAAAAAATATATAAGCAATGCTTCTGTTAATAAACTTTTATTTATAAATATATTGTGTTTGTATAAAAACAATATATACCTATCCTATCAAACCTACAGTGTTCATAATGTGCATTGCTGTTGTCTGATATTTCACATTACTTCAAATTAATCAAGTAGAGCCAAAGAAATATTTTATGGAATTATTTACATAAGTCAAAATAACCTCTTCAATTAGATTTTCTTAAAATTATAGTGAAATATTTAAACAAGTTAAAAAAATAGTAAATTTGCTGAATTAATTATTTTTATTATGAATATAAAGATTAGAAAATTATTCAAATGTTTCTCTCCCAGTCAGCTCTCTTTAGCTATGTTGAGAGTAGGAAATTCAAGTGGACTTAGTTTAATAGATGCTGTTTTGAAAATGTTGTATATACAGAAATCTGGATTTTGCTCATTAAATTATCATTAAAACAAAAATGGTTATATGAACAGTTATTTTTAAAATAGATAACAGAGGATAAGTTTACAACATCTAAAAAAGCAACCCTAAAATACAAAAGGAAAAATACTCTACTAAGGTATGATTTAAGGAAAAGCTGAAAGATATAAATATAAGCATATGTAAAATTGAATGAATTCAGCAATGAATATTGTTCAATACAAATTAAGAATTGAATCAAAGAAAATGATTGAGATTCCATATTTTCACAATAAATACTATCAGCCAAGAATCAAAAACTTCCATTATACCAAAAATAAAGAAACAGCTTGATTTAAAAATCAAGGCAAAGTTTAACAAATGAGCTCACAAAAAAAAAAAAAAATGATGTGCCAAAATAATGATTTTTCTCTTGACCCTACTATTACTGTATACTACCTCAGCTATATTGTTCTAAAAAGCTATTTTCAGAATTTCAATAAAACCCAAGCTTAAGAAACTAGATTTATACTTTTTCTATTTTCTCAAAGAATGACAACAAAAATATTAAACACTTTTAGATTTTTCATGTACTTGAATGATTTTATATTTACAAGATTATAAAAATATGTTAACCAACTACAAATCAATATTTATTATTTACCATATAATAAATAAATAACCATGAAAACAAATTATAAATAATTAGCTAGTAATAACTAAGCAATACTGAACAAGATATCTCAAGACATGGACAATCTAACCTTGTAGACTAAATAAAAAGTGCAGTACAAAATTCTCTGAAGGTGACTCAGATTAACAAGCAGAAAATGAAGACTAGAGAATATTATTTTTTTTTTTTTTTTTAAGCATTACACCCCGAGCAAGGTGTAAAGCCACTAGAATGCAGGGGGTTGCAGAAGATTTAGAGCAAGAGCAGATAGGAGTGATAGAGGAAAGGATGAGGAGAGGGATAATGGATAGATCAAGGTAACTGGAGATGTTGATTGACATTACATTTGAATAGTTGGAGATTATAGATCTCAAGGAAACAGTAATTGGGAAGGGTGTTCCACAGGCGAGAGGGGTGAGGTATGAAGCTATTGGAGTAGAAGAGACGGTTACATTTAGTAGTTTCTACAGTGAAAGGGTGAGAGCGGGATGCTAGCCTCGTAGGGTGCTTGAATTCATGAAGTCTGGGAACCAGTGAAAGCAGCTCATCGGAGCAATTACCATGAAAGTATTTGTAAAAAAGACAGAGAGAAGTGACGGCGCGTATGTGAGAGAGCAACTGCAGACAAGATGCCAGATCAGGGCCAATTATATTACATATCCACCTCTGGATCTTGTCAAGAACTCCAAGGTAAACAGAAGGTGCACCAGTGGCTGAAAAATTGTGTAATTTCTAAGTCATTTTTAATTATCAATATTCATAATTAAAAATACAAATTATAAATCTATATAATGCTAAAAATTTAATCATGTATTTATGTATACTCCCAAGATACAGCTTAAACAAGGTATAACACCTCAACCATTTTAGGAAAATATTCTACTTAAATCCTTGCCAAGTGCAGTGTAAAATTTCATTAAAAATATACAGTGTTCTTAAGATACAAGACATTTTTCTGTTTTTATGGCATTTTTAATGGGAGATTCAGTATTTGTTTTCAATACACATTCTTCAAACAGTTGCATATTATATTCCAACTATTTTATATGTGAAAAACAATAAACATTCAAAATGAATTATAACAACATTATTAAATAAATTTAAATATACACAGCACAGCATATATTTATACAGTTCATTACACAACATTAAAACTTTTTTATAAACAACTACTTAAAAGGTGAAGAGACTATATGCGTCACATGACTTGATGGAAAATAAATAAATAGATGCATGCTGGCTTGCTACCATTACGTATCTTAAAATATATGTGAGGAAGAAAAAGTATATATAATAAAAAATATACTTATTATTTTGAAATAGTCTACACCTATTTTAAGCTATTACTCCAAATTTTCACTCAATGTGTTAACTATGAAGCCCAGTGGAACATTAAACCTTCTTTAACATTCTTTAATATCAATTATTAATTTTGTATTCAAAGTACATTTTAAGGAAGAAATGTCTCATTTTATGCAAAGAAGTAACACATATACCTAGTGATATCATAAAATAATTTATTTTCATACTTTAAATCAGGATATAGTGGCCTTAAGGCTTTTTTGGTGCTTTTCAATAATTTTCAGGATGGAAAATTTTTTTTACTTATTAACTGATAATTAGTTAAAAAAAACAAAAAACAAAACTAGTAATTATTTTGAAGAAGACTAAACCTGTTTTAAGCTATTACTCCAAACTTTCATGCAATGTGTTAATGATGAAGTCTAGTGGAATAATAAACCTTCTTTTCCCATCTTTAGTATATCTATATAAAACTAATACTCTAATCTTGTATGTATGTACCTGAGAAGCAGCTTAAATTATACTTAATATCCCAACCAATTTAGGAGCAAATAATACTAAAATTGGTATACATTGCCATCCCAGGGCTACTATTAAATTAAAAGGCTTTTAGTGTGATATCAATTGACAATTCTATTTCAAAAAAGTAAACTTTTTCTTATTTATTTTTTATTATGTCTGATTTAAGTAATATTGTATGAGTATTAATAATTATTACAATAACTTTTATTGCAAATACAAATTAAAATATGTCTAATTAATAATAAAATTGATAATATTACCTCACCATTTTGTGTCATGAAGTGCTTCTTAAAGGAACCCATTATGTTTATGGCTGGTCTAGTTTCCTTTAAAAATGTCTTTTAGAGGACACCTTTTATATAAGTGTAATTTTTTTTTTATAATCCATTTGTTTCTTGTATTTTTTACCAATATATTTTTTTTTCTTTCATAAATAAATGGCTTGCTCCACTATCTTAACTGTGGTTATAAATATTCATATTAAAATTTTATAATGGTCAGTTTTAATTTGTGCCTGATGATTGCCATGTGCATGTGACTCAGTTGTACCAAAGCATAAGGAACAAATCAATATTCATTATTAGTATGAATTTTGACTTAATTATTTTACATCAAGCACTGTTTTATTACAACCAACATTCACTGTGTTCTATTATATATATATATATATATATATATATATATATATATATATATATATATATTATATTATATATCATACCTATGAGCACTAATGGGTATGTCCCAATCCTCATAAATAAATTGGAAACTATTTTAAGTGGGTGTAATATGCTGTCTAAGTAGTCCACCACTAGCAGTGGTTTACCAACTTCCCGCCATTGACAAGTATTGTATTTTGTTGAGGTTATAAAGATTACCATTTCATTTCCAACCTCTATTTTGGTTATTCCTCATTTAGTTACCTTTTTTATTTTATAACAATATATATATATATATATATATATATGTATGTATATATATATATGCTAACAGATCTTTCTCTTTTTATTTGTGTGCTAATAGTGTGATGACAGTGAAACTGACAGTCATCATGCTGTGTTGATCTTTATGTCCATACTGTTTATATCAACACATTATCTCCACTAGTGAGCACTCTTTCCTCATAAATGTAGTACAATTTAAACTATATATACATATATAAGCATAGAGATCTCTTAACATCTCACTGCCTATGTGAGTGCATTTGAGACAGTGTATATAATCAGGTAAACTGGTTTAGAGTAGCTTTATTTTGATATGTTGAATGTCACAGTTAAGAACAAAAAGATTTCAGAGACTTTAATGTTATGGCCAGAAGACAAGGTCAGAGCATTTTCAAAATTCTATATCACTACAGCATTCAGTTGTGGTGACTGTAAGCAGTGGTTAGATGAGAGGAAAATCACCAAATACCGATAAGGTAGTGAAGAATTATAAATGAAACAAATGAATAAAGGCTTTCTTACTAAGTACAAAAGTCAATAAAAGGGTTAGTTTTGCATAAATTTCAAATAGCTTTAATCAAAATGAAAGAAGGAACATGTCACAACACAAAATATAACAAGCCTTGCACTGTATGAGGTTGCATCATCACAGTTCTGGCCAAATTCCCAAGCCAGTTAATATCCATCACCAGAAAATATCTTCAGTAGGCATGCAGATATTGAAAGTGGAACTTGTTTGAATGGAACAAGGTTACATGGTCTGATAAAGCACATTTGTCTTTGAATAAAATAGATTGCAGTGTACATGTCATTATCTCCTGAGGATGTAATGAAAATAGGGTACACTGTGCTATGTCAGATTTTGTTATTCAATTTATTTTTCTGCTTATGGCCACATTACATTCAAACAGTGGTCCGCATACAATCACCAATGTTAAGCAATGTTGAACCTGGTTAGTACCTTGATGGGTGACCTCTTGGGAATACCAGGTGCTCAAAGCTTGAATGTGCAGCTGATGTAATGGATATTGGCTAGAAATTGGAGAGCCAAGTTCCAGTTGGCTATGTTATATTCACTTATGCCCAAATAACCACAGGAAAGGTATGAATCCACCTCTTCTCCTACAGCTATTGGTTAATTAGTAAGACTTGAATCACTAAATCCTTATTATACAAAAAAAAAAAAAAAACAAACCATTCTTACAATCTAAAAATAGTTTCTGGCTTTGATCCTTTGAGCCCTGTATTCCTGAACAATTTTAACCATTTTGTTTGAGATCTGAGTCAAAATTTGCAAATAATTTGTATATTATGTTTCATCATACTTATTATAAAACCCAGGTTGTGTGTGTGTGTGTCTGTTTATATATTGGATCGGATTTCCTACATTTTTTAACCAAAACTTCACAGGACTATGTAAAATTACCTTGCAGTGGTTCTGACAGTGCCAAAAATTGGTAAACAATTGTTTTTGCACAAATTCAATTTGCAAGCACAATTAAGAGGCATGAAAGGGGGACAACTCATATCGAGTTATACTTATTATAAAACCCAGGTTGTTTGTGTGTGTGTGTGTGTGTGTGTGTGTGTGTGTTCGTTAATATATGGGATCGGATTTCCTACATTTTTCAACTGATTTCAACAAAAACTTCACTTTTTTTTGGCAGGTAGTGTTTCTTATTGTCTTGCACACTTTTTTCTTTATTTTTACATTCAGAATGCTTTAAAAATTCCATTTACAAGACAATTGTTTATAACAAAATTCTATTCAATTGGTAGACTCATAACAATTGAAAACAATGTTTTTGTTTGAGTTTGGGTTTGACCAATTCATAAAAAAACAAATAAAAAAGAAAAAAAAAAAGAAAAAACTAATTAAGACGTGTGTCCGTCAACCTTAAACAATAATCTTTGTCAATTTTGTTTTTCAGTCTTTATGATGGTTAATACTTGATCTATCTCTTACTGTTACATCCCTGGGCAACGCTAGTAGTAGATATAAAAATAGTTAGAAAAAATCTAAGCATTATACTTAGCAGGGAGAGAATATGATTGCAAGCCTTTGCTTTATCGCCAGAATTCTTTCTTTGTGTCCCAGTCTACCCAACAGGTGCTGTGCCTCTCTTTATGCTCAAGAATAGCAAAACACAATGGAAGTGTTTACCCACTGTTTAACCAGTGATTGGGCATTGAGTCATTTTTCTCTACCACCAGTAAAGTGGTGGTCAAGGCTCAAAGGGTGAAAAAACCTGAAAAGGGTTGATAAGTGATAGAAAATGAATCTATCAATCAATTTATTTATTTCACAATAAAATTTGTATTATTCAAATCAATAAAATATTCAGTATATATTTATATGATAAACCTGCGATGCAAATTTGTTGCTTATAATATCTGTATTAGAAATATTTTACAATAATGTTCGGAGCTTTATAATGCATGGTTTGTTTATCAAATTATAAATACATGTATGTAACAGAGAAGTTATTGATATATTACAATTTCAGATATATAAAGATTGCCATGAGTTATAAAAAGATATGACCTCAAAAAAAGAAACAAAATAAGGTAAAGTTATTGATTGATATGAACACAATATTGGAAATTGCAAGAAAAACTTGAACAGAGATCACTGAACAATCAAAAAAGAAAAAGAAAAATATTTTTATGAATATCACAAAAAGAGATTTGAGAAATATTAATTAATGGGTTAAAAAAAAGAAAGGGGATTGACCAACAATTTGAAGTTAGTGTTACAAATATAAACAGAAAAAAAAAAAAGATATGGAACATTAAGAACATTGACTAAAGACATAAAAACAACCAAACTTTTACTTTTCAGTAGATATTATAAAGAGAACTGAGTATATGAGACATAGCAGTATATGAAAACTGATTTCTTAACAGAGGGTGTTTTGAACTAGTATTGCAATTGGTACCTTTCAACTTGATGATGATGATGCCAAAATACAGAGAATGTTCTAAGTTCTTGGACAAGATATTTTTGAATGATACAGGGTGTTGTGAATATGGATTATCTCCTCTTAGATAATCCAAGTTATAAAAGCTGTATACTTCCGCTGTCAAGTCAGATGAGTAGTAGTATTCTTAATTGAATAAACGATTACTAGACAGAATCTCTTGTCCTGTTTTCATTACATTTTATTCAATTAAGAATAGAACAATTTATGCGACCTGAGCGACTTACCACAGATCCAGAAAGCGATTCAGCCGACAAGTGCTGGAAACATTGGCGGGAGACATTTACAAATTTCATCGAGGTTTTACATTCAGAAAGACCGGGACGTCCCATCAATAAATTATGCGCTCCTAACCAACTACCTGTCTCACACAGTCAACGAAATTATCTCGGATTGCTTACTCACGAAGAAGCAATCGATGTACTGAACGCTTCATACATAAAGCCCCAAATGAGATATTTTCTAGACACCTACTTGCGACATCGCCGACAAGAATCAGGCGAGACATTGGACCATTTCCTAAGAGCCTTCGGGACACTGAGCAAAGATTGCAACTTCTGCCCAATGATTGGCATTAGAGGCCCAAAAAGCTACACATTTTGACGCCTTCATTAACATGCTTACGCAATACTCAGATAAGACAACGCCTTCTTGAGAATAAGACCCTTACACTTAGAACAGCTTACGAGCAAGCCTATATCTTCGAAAGTGCTATACAGCAGTCTAGTTCTTATTTACAGCCAGACACCGTGGGCGCCGCGTTAAACCCACCTGTTCTTACTGTCCCACCTCATGATGATAGTCTGACGAAGCTTCAAGAACAATCGGTCACTGCCGCTTTAAAAAGGACACTTGCTATTTTTGCGACATCTAAACACCTACGAATCTCATGCCCTGCCAGAGATACTCGTTGTCATAAAAGTGGTAAACTTGGTCATTTTTCAAAGGTATGCAAGTCTTCTAAAACTCTATACAAATCCACTCGTCAAAATACTTCTGCAACTTTAGCCGCCTCCCCCGACTGCCTTTCAAAAACTATTGTAAAAGTGAAAATTAACGGGAGGTCTACAAATGCCCTGATCGATACCGGGAGCTCAGGAAATTTTATCAAAGAAAGCTTGGTAAAAACCAACAAATTGTATTTTGTCCCCTCTCCCAGCAGAGTAACAATGGCAAACACGTCATTGTCTGCGCAAGTAAGTGGTTATTGTTTGGTGGACTTACTATTTAATGACGTCTCCTATAAAACCACTAAATTATCCGTAATGAAAACCTTTGTTGCGAAATAATACTGGGACACGATTTTTTGCAGCAACACTCACAGGTTGAAATTCCGTTTGGCAGTCCAATGCCCGCATTGAAAATTTGTGGATTGGCGACAGCAAAAAATCCAATACCCGTCACTTTTCGAAAACCTAACTGAAAACTGCAAACCCATAGCAGAGAAAGCAGACTTTTCTTATAATAATAAAAAATTCATTGACTCTGAGATAAAAAAGACTACTTGAGGAGGGTATAATTGAGCCTAGCAAATCACCTGGAGGGCTCAGGTAGTTATAACCACTTCTAGCAACCATAAAAAGAGAATGGTTATAGATTACTCCCAAACCATAAATAGATTTACTCTTTTGGACGCCTTCCCACTACCCAGGATAGATGAAATGATAGGCGAAATAGCCAAATATCGTATGTTTAGCACTCTGGGCTTGAAAAGCGTGTACCATCAGATCGCCATTAGACCTAGAGACAAGCCATACACTGCTTTCGAGGCGAACGGTCGACTATATCAATTTCGCAGGATTCCTTTTGGCGTTACGAATGGGGTAGCCAGCTTCCAAAGGATAGTCAACCAAATCATAACGGATGAGAAACTGGAAGGCACATTTGCGTACATCGACAACGTCACAGTATGTGGCCATAATAGAAAGGAACACGACGAAAATCTCAGACGGTTCATGTCCGCCGTCGATAAATACAACCTTACCCTAAACGACGACAAATGCTTGTTTGGACTGGACAAAATAAACCTACTGGGGTATACCATAAGCAAAGGTTTTATGGCACCCTCACAACCAGCCTTCCCTTCGACGTGCTATGGGCATGTTTGCTCATTACTCTCAATGGATTGCTTCGTTCTCAGAAAAGATACATCCATTGACACAAGTAGAGACATTTCCTCTGTCCCATCAAGCCGTTGAGGCATTCGAGGGACTGAAAAAGGATATTGCGAAATCTGCAATTACAACAATAGACCAAAATATTCCTCTGGTTGTTGAAACGGATGCATCAGACTGTGCTATTGCTGCTTCTTTGAAACAAGCTGATCGTCCTGTAGCCTTCTTTTCAAGGACCCTCTCACAGGCTGAATGACGACACCCCGCAATTGAAAAGGAAGCCTATGCCATAGTCAAGGCATTTAGAAAATGGTGACACTACCTGATCGGACGCCACTTTAAACTTATTACTGACCAGAAATCAGTTGCTTTTATGTTCAACTCTAAAACTACGAGTAAAATAAAGAATGAGAAAATAGCAAGGTGGAGAATTGAGCTATCTTGTTTCTCCTTTGACGTCAGCTACCGACCTGGCAAGGAGAACTTAACAGCTGATACACTGTCAAGAGCATGCTGTACGGCATCAAGCAGGGACGAACTCCGAATTCTACATAACAATCTCTGTCACCCGGGCATTACTCGAATGGTTCATGCTGTGAGGTGTAGAAACTTGCCTTTCTCAGTGGAGGAGGTAAAAAGAATTACAAATTCTTGTCAAACATGTGCTGAAATAAAGCCTCGGTTTTATAAACCCCAAACTGGCGTTTTAATAAAAGCAACACAACCGTTTGAAAGACTCAATCTTGATTTTAAAGGACCGCTATCAAGTAAAACAAGGAACAGATATATATTAACGGTTATCGACGAATATTCACGGTTTCCTTTTGCCTTCCCTTGTTCAGACATATCGGCTGCTGCAATTATACAATGCCTCTGCTCACTGTTCGCCATCTTTGGAGC